TTTTTCTGTGGCGAAAACTCAAGTAATTTGTTTTTCGAATAAGAAAAATAATCCGAAATTAAACGTTAAGATGTATGGTCATCAGTTGGAGCAAGTGAAGGTCGTCAGATTCTTGGGTATGTGGATGGATTCAAAATTAAATTTTGGAATACATATACAGAAATTAATTGAAAAATGTAAAAGAGGAATTAATGTATTAAGGTGTTTATCAGGTGCTGATTGGGGAGCAAGTTCTCAATCATTAAAAAGAATATATAGTGCAGTAATAAGATCTAGTATAGATTATGGTAGTATATTATACTGTTCTGCGAACAAAACTCTGCTTAAAAAAGTTGAAGTAGTACAGTAACAGGCTCTGCGTATATGTAGTGGAGCTTTTAGAACATCTCCAGTGAATGCTTTACAGGTAGAGATGGGAGAAATGCCCCTAGAACACCGTAGGTTACAGTTGAGGATGAGATATTGGGCTGGTGTAAAGAATGGTCTGGTCACTCAGAATATCATCCAGTTAAAAATCTTTTGAAAGATTGTTGGGAGTATAACTATAAAGATTTAGAGAGCTTCGGTTGGACAGTAAAGAAGGAGGCAGATAGATTAGGGTTGAATAAATATGAAAATAATCCTTCTGTAGCTATTCCAGTGGTTCCAGCGTGGTTGTTTCCAATGCCTTTGATTTGACTTTCAAATACAAAAAGAAATAAATGAAAAGGAGAAGATCATTCCTATAAATATAGTAGTTCAACAGTACATAAATCAAGCATATTATTCACAGTTACAGATTTATACGGATGGGTCGAAGGATCCTGAATCTGGAAGGACAGCAGCAGCAGTATATATTCCTGCATTTAAAATCAAAATAGCCAAAAGAATATCTGATCATTTGTCTGTTTTTACTACAGAATTAATAGCAATTATATTAGCACTACAATGGATTGAAGAAATACAACCAAATAATATTGTAATATGCACAGATTCAATGTCTGTTCTAACAAGACTAGAGAGTGGTAAATCTGCAGCGCGGCAAGATCTAATATATGAAGTATTACAGTATTTGTTTAGAATTAGACAATCAGGGATAATGGTATACTTCCTATGGGTACCGGCTCATACTGGGGTGGAGGGAAATGAGGAAGTGGACTGCTTGGCTAAGATGGCTCTGAAGCACTCACATAGTGAAATTAATATAGCAATTAGCAAATCTGAAATCAAGAGAATTATATCAGTTGAAGTAAGAAAGATATGGCAAAAGTTATGGGATAGTGGAATAAAAGGAAGGCATCTTTACCAGATACAGGGGTGTGTAGGTGAAGAGAGAATAAGATGTGGGAGTAGGAAGAAAGATGTTATTATAACAAGAATGAGGATTGGACATTCAGCTTTAAATTTCAATGTACACAAAATAGGGAAGCATGAAAATGAAAGATGTGATAAATGTGGGAATCCAGAAACAGTAAAGCACATTCTTCTAGAATGTGATGCGTATGAAAGAGAAAGAAATCAACTTAATCATAAATTAGGTTTGATGGGATATGATAAAGTATCACTAAAGATATTACTAGGGAATAGACAAATGCAATCAAGAATTAAAGAAGAAGTGTTCAATTATCTAAAAAAGACAGGAAATATGGAAAGAATATAAATTGTAATAGTGGGTTATTTTTATTTTATTTATTTTTAAATATAATATCCTTCTCTCTACCAAATCTGTTCACTCCACACTCCAGATCAGTAGGGGGCGGTAATGCACCTTTAAGTTGGTTTGCCAAAACCGCCAATAAACATCAGAAGAAGGCATCATGCTGAAATCCAAAGAAATTCAGAAACAAATGAGAAAGAAAGTAACTGAGATCTATCAGTGGGGTCACTTCAAATTTCATGTGAACTTTAAGGCTTGTGTTCACTACTATCAAATCCTTTGAAAGGTGTGACGGGATCAGGATGTTTAGCTTGTGGAAGTAATTGACTGTCCCTGACAAATGGCACCAACAAGGTTTTGGAGTAATACATCGCGGTGAGAGAGAGAGAGATGTGGGATCTGACATAAAGACTTATTTTTCTCATTTATTGTTTGTGTATTTACTATATAGTATTTTGTTTCTTGTACATGATAATGTATGCCTTAACTTAAAATATACCCATGTCTGGAATGCTGAAAATGTTATTTTCTCTCATGCAAACTGTGTTTGTCCATGGCATGCCTGGGATTTTGATCCTATTTGTTGACAGAAATGCTCATGTTTCGTTTATCAAGCAATATGCATCTCCTCTGCTCACTGGCCTAATCTCTGCATGTCTCCAACCAATCGAAGCGGTATGCATTACAGCAGACAGATCGTGATGAACTCTGACTCGTGGACTGTGTGGGAAGCACACTGGTATCTAAACACATTCAAGTGTCATAAACTTCCAGCCCCTGTTATGAGTTAAATAAACACTAACGTAATGCTTTATTAAATGAGTCGTACAGCTGATAGATTAGATGGGCTGTTTTTCCGAAGGGGCGTGTTCTTACGATCTCGACTGAACGCTCCGCTCAGCTCTGCCTCTGTATCTGGCGAGCTACTAACTATCTACCCAGGCAGCGACGGTTGTAGTACTCGAAGCTGAAAATAGCCAGCTAGCTTTACTGCTCCCGTCTAATCGAAGTCACAGTCGATAAGAAGTTAAAATGCCGAAAATGAATCCAAATTCATGAATGCGCCGAAGACATTTGCAGGAGAAAACTATGGAAGACTGAGAGACGGGAGACATTTTATCGGCGAATTTTTACCGGCTTTTCGGCCAAGCCACCAGCTTAAACAGCCTTCGCAAAAAGCTGCTGCTTCTCCACGGAAGTTGTGGTCGGAAAATACGGTAAACTGTCTGGTTTGTAACGTGTATTTTTTGTTTGTTGCCAATTCAAGTTGTGAGGTCAATGTCAACGGTCGCTTTGCTCAGCTGGCTGTTTGAATACCGCACGCGGCGTTTCTGTGCTGGTTACTCGGGCTAGAGCGGCTAACTAGCCCGCCAGCTTTAGCAGCCTCGGCGTTTCGATCGCCTCGGACTTTATCTGTAAGCATATTCGTATATACGCTGTCTCAGAGCAACAGTTTTATGATTTGGAGTGGTAACGGTGCTGTCATTGTTTATTTTTGTGTAAGGGTGTTCTCGGGAAACTTAGCTGAATCTGAAGTTCTGTTGGACTGTAAACATGGCTGACGATTCGTTCTAGAATCTAGGGCGCGCAACCTAACATTTTCTTGTGATACTTTTTCTAACCGCTGATTGGCTAGACGGAGAGTGTGGACGGCTGTGATTGGTTGTCTAAGTATGTGGTGTTGATAAACTTCTCAGCCTCTTGTGGTCGTCGCACTTCAGTGACAAATTCTTCAAAACTCCACTTTAAGTTTAGTAATATGCCTCCTAAAGTGCTTAAGTCAGTTGATACGAACGCAAGAAAGATGTGAACTTCGGCGTGGCTCTGTATTACGATTTAAAAGTCGTTTTAGCTTTGGCAGTAAGAGGGCGAACCGCGTGAGGCCTTGAGAGGAAAAGTCCCGCCCATTAGACGGCAAAAATAAAAACACTGTAATTTGGCGACCGACCTGAACTTAATCCTTCCAATGAATTTGTGTAATCGAATGTCATAATAAACTAAACTAGCAATGGATACATTTACATACCAATACACTAATTTCATATTGGAAAGTATGGATTTGTACTTGTAGGCCTATATATATTTCGCCTGATAGTTGACGTTCGAATTGACTTGACGTAAGTTATAGGAGTTGTATAAACATGTTACTGTTTTGGGGAATTGAATATATGTGCTCTGCTGTATACTTGGTCAATTTGGGTATTTCGTTAAATTTTTATGTAGTATTTATTGTATTATGGAACTATTTTGATCATTTCTAAAAAAAATAATAATAATTTTTATTCGCGTTAACATAATATAAATACAAATGTCTTTCACACGTTTAACAAGCAAAAGTCACTGGTTAAATTATACAAACAATAAACGATGTAAAAAGGTGGCAGAGTATAATAATAATATAATTGATTTTGTAATGTTAATTTGAATTCGTAAATATTATTCTATTATGTAAATAGACATTATAATTGTAATGAACAATTTTTACTATTTTTAAGTAGTGCGAACAATAAAATAAGTAAAAATAAATATAAAGGTGGTATAATAAAATATAAAAGGGGTGAGGTTGCACATCAATCAATATTACGTTTAACAGTAATAATATAATGCCTAATAGCCTTTTTATATTATTGTATTTTTTACATTTATACAAAACACTACAGTGTTGTTTAAAGCCATGTATAAAATAAAAAGTTTAAAAAAGCTCATCAACATGTCATGATGCGGGTTGTGTGCACTTCCAGGAAATGAGTGTGCACGGTATTAGACATACATGACTCAGTCGACCATGGGTGAAGTGAAAACGTCTTCGTGTTGACAGTTTGGCCAGACATTGACTGCACATTGGTATGTTTGTGTTGTGTAAATTAATTAGGATTCTTATGCTTGTTCTTTTTCTCTTTTGTCCACACAGGTCGAGGTACAAAGGGGCAGCGTGGTGTGAGTCCCCATGAGAAAACCACGACGGAGGGGAGGCCTGCCCGGGGCCCAAAGTGATGCCGCGGATACGGGTACAGCAGGTAGGGGGGCATCACAGCCACGCTCACTCTCTCCCTACCGGCTGAAGGTTTCACCCACCAGAGAAACCCTAACGTACGCCCAGGCTCAGAAGATTGTGGAAGTGGACCTGGATGGAAGATTGCATCGGATCAGCATCTTTGACCCCTTGTTGGTGATCACTGAGGATGAGATGACAGCTCAGGACATCGCCGAGTGCAACAGCAACAAGGAGAACAGTGAGCAGTCATCGGTGACCGCCGTCGTCAGCTCGCCGCGCCGATCGACGGCCCACAGGGGGAAAAAGAAAGATGTGAAGCAGTTGTCGTCATCGTCATCACAAAACCACTGTTCCAACTCTCACGGACAAACTCCGATGCATTCTAATGTGAACAGCCACCACGGCACCTTACCCAAGCCTACTTTCAGAGAACAAGAGTCTTATGAACCGGTTGAGGCATCTCCTCGCCCTTCGGCATACTACCGTTACATTGAGAAGTCCGGTGAAGAGATGGAAACGGATGCGGAGTATGACATGGACGAGGAGGACTTGGCCTGGCTGGAGCTGGTGAACGAAAGACGAGCGTCGGAAGGCCATCCGCAAGTGTGTCCCGACACTTTCGAACTCCTGATAGATCGTCTAGAAAAAGAGTCGTTCTTAGAGTCACGAAGCCATGCGCCCTCACAGAGCATCATCGATGAAGACGCCTTCTGCTGCGTCTGCCTCGACGACGAATGTCTCAACAGTAACGTTATCCTGTTTTGTGACATCTGCAACCTGGCTGTGCACCAGGAGTGTTACGGCGTTCCCTACATCCCTGAGGGCCAGTGGCTCTGCCGCTGTTGCCTGCAGTCACCCTCTCGCCCTGTGGACTGCGTGCTTTGCCCGAATCGGGGCGGAGCGTTTAAACAGACCAGCGACGGGCGATGGGCACATGTGGTCTGCGCTATTTGGATCCCAGAGGTGTGTTTCGCCAACACGGTTTTCCTTGAGCCCATTGAGGGCGTGGACAACATTCCACCAGCTAGGTGGAAGCTAACATGCTACCTGTGCAAGCAGAAAGGTTGCGGGGCGTCCATTCAGTGCCACAAGGCCAACTGCTACACGGCCTTCCATGTAACCTGTGCGCAGAGAGCTGGACTCTTTATGAAAATAGAGCCGGTCAGAGAGACTACTGTGAATGGGACTACGTTTTCGGTGAAAAAGACTGCGTTTTGTGAGGTGCACTCACCGCCTGCGAAGGACGGGTCGGATGATGAGACCGGGGGGAGGGTTTTGGGGTGTCGTGCTAATAGGGGTCGCAGTGCCTACACACAGACGCCACAGCTAAAAAAGCAGAGACGAAGCAATAAACTGGATTCTAAGCAAAAGAAAGGAAAGAAAGAAGAGGTGTCGAAAAAAGTCGCAACACCATTGGTCACTGTTCCAGAAATACCTACTCACAGGTAAATACATTGTATATTATAATATTTTATGTAATATTTAATTAAAATGTTATATATATACATTTTTTATTATTATTAAATATATATAAATATATATTACTTTTTAAAGAAGTCTCTTATGCTCAATAAGGCTGCATTTATTTGATCAGAAATGCAGTAAAAACAGTAATATTGTGAAATATTATTACAATTTAAAATGTTGGTTTTCTATTTTAAAATATAATTTATTGCTGTGATGCAAAGCTGTATTTTCAGCATCATTACTCCAGTCTTCAGTGTCACATGATTCCTCAGAAATCATTCTAATATGCTGATTTATTATCAATGTAACATTTGTGCTGCTTAATATTTTGTTTGGAACCTGTGATAAATGTACTGACCCCAAACAGTAGTGTGTAGTGTTACAAAATATCGTATTTTTGATCAAATAAATGCTGAAAGGTAGTATGTAAAAGTTTAAGTAAAGTTTATTGTTTGTCATTATTTTGCTGGTGTTTTTTACAGATTGAACAAAATGTCTAAAGATGTGATCATACAGAAGAAGAATCAGTTCATGCAGAGACTTCACAACTATTGGTTACTTAAGCGTCAGTCACGCAATGGAGTGCCTCTCATTCGTCGTTTACATTCACATCTGCAGGGCCATAGGAGTGCAGAACAGGTCAGTGTTTATGCATATATTAATTTTGTAGACATAGTCCACACCCCTTACACACAACTACAGTATCATGGGTTGTGTACATGTTATCAACTCTGTGTAGGCGGAGCCAGATGAAAAGCTGAATGCTGTGAGAGAAGAGCTGAAATACTGGCAGAAGCTTCGTCACGATCTGGAGCGAGCGCGACTCCTGATCGAGCTCATCCGCAAGAGAGAGAAACTAAAGCGAGAGCAGGTAACATACTGAAACGTTACATATGATTACTGTGTATTCGTACATAATAAAGTCAATGAAGGTATCTTGAATAAATGATGACAACCAGAAATGTGGACTCAGGTTGAACCCGAGTCTTGTTTTTTTTTTAAGTTTACAGCCTCCAGCATAAAACACATGTGCTGAACCTATTTTTGCCCCATGTAGCAAGCTGAATTTAAAATGCACCATTAAACTAATAATAAACAAGATCAATGGAATATAGTCTTTTATGAAGCAACATAAAACACTGAAGTAAACAATTGAAAGAAAAGAGATGCCTGTCTGGCTTGGTGCAAGCAGCACAAACACTTTCTTTTTTTAATAAATCTCACTAAATCCAGAAGAATAAGCAGTTCATAACTACAGTTTGTTTCATGTAAATTATCTTTCAGCTGTAAATATGATGCCCCTCCTCATGAAAATTAAAATTTGTGAGGATCAAGTTTGTACTAGTTCTCAATTGGTTTTGAAAACTGCTTTTCAATTGCTCGCTCCCAATAACCATTTCATAACTTATAACTGTTATCAAAGAGAATACTCAATTTGATAACCCTGAACTGTTTTCTGTATAGAGCTGAAGCTCTATTGTGCAGCAGAAATGCTGTCATTGTGAAAGTACAGCACAAGCCTGCTGTTACAGTTACGCTGCAGTGTAATAAGAGTCAGGCTATGACTTGATTTGGCGAATATTGCATGTAAAATTGGACTTTCTTTCATTTCTTGAGCTTTGACTTGGCTGGTTTTTCAGACTGGCAAAACCACACGTGACATCTTATACTATGTGTGAAAGTGATGAAGGCACATTTTAACGTAAATACGTTTCAACCACTTCCTTTGCAACTAATAGGTGGTTGGAAAAGGAAATAATCTACAACTATTTGAGCAGCAGAACATACTGACAAACTGTCATTTGCTACTTGCTATTTTGATATTAATTTAGAGGGAGTGTTCACATTCAAAATAACTTTTTACTGGACAGAAATGTATAAGCCTGTGCATGAAAGACAAATTTTTTTTGGTCCATTTTTCCGGAAGATTACAATTTTTAAAGGATTTTAAATAAATTGAAATCTGAAAAATAAATTTCAAATCTCACTAAAAGCCACAAAACTGTAATATATGACCCATGACTTCTTTTCTATAATTTCATCCCATGTGTCACTTTGTACAGATAAAAATGTGCAAGGTGTCTCGCTATAACCATGAGTTGGTTCTGTAGGTGAAGATTCACCAGGCTGTGACTGAGCATCAGTTAACTCCTGTCCTGGTACTGCTGCGGTCCACTTTAGAACAGCTTCAGGAGAAAGATACTGCAAAAATATTTGCTCAGCCTGTCAACTTGAAAGAGGTCTGTCTATTTTATATACATTCATATACACTACTGTTCAAAACGTTGGAAAAGAAATCTTTTATTCTCACAAAGACTGCACTTATTTGAAAAATACTGTATAATATAAACTGTAATATTGTGAAATATTATTAATTGGAAAAAAGGCAGAATTACTGGAATTATTGAGGAAAAAGCAGCCATTAACTCCAGTCTTCAGTGTCACGTGATTCTTCACAAATCATTCTAATATGCTGATTTGCTGCTTAAGAAACTATTCTAATATCAATGTTGAAGACAGTTGTGATGCTTAATATTTGTTGAAACTTTAATAAAAAAAAAATCAGGATTCTTTGATGAATAGCAAGTTCAAAAGAATAGCATTTATTTATAATAAAAAACATTACAAGAGACTTTTCTGTTGCTTTTGGTCAATTTAACCTGCCCTTGTTGAATAAAAGTATTGAATTATTTTTATTTTTTTTATCTTACTCGCCCCAAACTTTTAAACAGTAGTGTAAATGTCAAGTCATGATCGATTAGGCTAACATGTGGCACAGGTTTTTCATGTTTGCCATTTATACAGCATCTTCAAAATATTTATAAAATGCAAATCTACTCTCATATAAAAATCCTAATATCTTCATTTAGAAGATTCAAGCCTTAAACAGAAATTGTGCTCTTGGGTTCTCAGGTCCCAGATTATCTGGAGTTTATCACACACCCCATGGACTTCTCCACCATAAAATCCAAATTGGAGGCTCCCAAATATCGCTCCATCACTGACCTTGAGGCTGATTTCAACCTCATGATCTCCAACTGCCTGCTTTATAATGCTAAAGACACTGTGTTTTACCAAGCTGCAATACGCCTGAGGGACCTAGGAGGCGCTATCCTGAGGCACTCTCAGAGACAAGCCCAAAACACAGGCTTCGACCTGGACACGGGCATGCACCTGGCAGAATCGCCACATAAAAATGACTACTACCGCTGCACTTTGGAAGATGGTGAGTAGTTAACAAAAAAATCACATAAAAGTCAATACAAACAGTTACTTGTTGGCAGTGGTAAAGTTCATACAATTAGGTGGGATTTCTTGACTTGGACTACTAATTAAAGGCACAATATGTAATTTTCGCCGCTAGAGGGTGCGTATTCAAAAAATAAACAGAGGCAAAGGCATAGTTTGATGACGCTATGACTGAGTGTGGAATCATGGGAGTTGTCGTCTTCATCCCCACAGCCGATGCAATTCGACGGGACTCGAGCAGAAATCATGTTCATGGATGAGCTAATGATTTATTAACATAGTAGAATGAAGCAGGGTGAGGCTGAAAGCCGTCGAAGCGAAACGAGGCCGCTGAACGAGCGTGACGCATGGCTCGAAAGCAGCAGAGCTTTTATTATGGCACAGTCGACCGCTTCCGCTCCTTCCTGTCGTGCGTATGTGGGGGGGGAAAAGCAGCACTGTAGATACATTTGAAAGTTCTGTTATAATGCAACTTTGTGCGGTCGTCACCGGTCTAATAAAACGCACAACATATTAACGCGTCTTTGGTGTTTCCATGGTTTCTACAAAACAAAACCGGAAATCGAGGGGTTATGACGTCATTGGCAGGCGACACAATGACACTGGAACAAATAATAGATTCATGAGACCACGAATGCATCTAAAATAAAATATGCTATATAAATAAATATTATCCGTGAGAGCAGAGCCCAAAGCTTGTGGCCAGTGGTGTTCGGACTGGAGTTTGAACCTCTGCTTAATGATATAAACGGGAATCACCCACGAGCTCCCCTGCGAGCTGTCCCAGCACAGCGCAGGGGGAACAATTTTACTCTATCGCTTTGGTCTAAGCAACGGGGCGTCCCGGGGCTCGAAATTCGCAGGGTAGGAGGGGGTAGTGACGCTGGGTGTAACTAAAAAGGTGCCATTGTCCGGTTGGGGAGTTACGGAACAATCTCATAACGCATAATCATATTAACTGTTTATCTCCTGAACTGCAACTTTCTTTACCACGTTATTCAGCGCCAATCCCGCCTTGCAGTCAATTTCACTGGTTAAGGTTAGGGTCAGGTGTGGGGTAGGTTTAGGTGTTAGCATTTTTGTAGCATAGTGTAGGAAATCAACACTTTAATTGACACAACCAATCAAATCTTTAGAATCAGCTGTGGGGCGTGGAGGGGGGGTGGGGGGGGGGGGAAATTGCACGTGTGTGTCTGTCAATGGAAGGAAGCCACGCCCTATTTTGGAGCTCCCACCCCGTTTTGGAGTTCCCGCCCCCATTTGGAGATCTCCAGGCTGCAGTAGGGGTTATGCGCAACAGACTTCCGTATTCTGTTAACCGGGTTTCGTCGCTTCCGGTTCAAGCATTTTGCATATGCTTAGTTAAATATGAAGCAGTTTTACTCGAAATGCCTTTAAAGTAGATACCAATGATGATCGTAACCAATGTCCATCACATATGCGGACTGATATCTAAAAGTTTTTTTTATTTTTATTCTTTTCACATTTAGATATAAAAATTTTATAAAACGTCAACAATAAAAACAGCTAGCTAGTTTAACTGATTATCTTAAAAGTCCATAGATATCGCTATTATTTAATACGGCTGTTAACACGTTCTCCGACAAGCGGAAGCAGTGAGACCTGTCTTCCGGGTTTGGTCAGGTGATGTTCGATTATATACCCTGTTATACCCTTCTCAACGGAAGTGTACCAAAAAAGTGGTACGGTACGGTTCGCTATTTTGGTACCATTCACAAATTCTGACAGTGGAAATGAAAATAGTTGCGTACTGTACTGTACCGAACCGTACCGCTCAGTAGAAACGAGCCGTAAGTACACAAGCCAGCAAAATATATAACACTGATCTAGTGGTTTTTGGATATTTTAATAAAAAGATCTTACATATTGTGCCTTTAAATCATATTATTGCTCTTTTGTTGGTTTTATTGCTTCTATTGTCCTCATTTGTAAGTCGCTTTGGATAAAAGAGTCTGCTAAATGACTAAATGTAAATGTACTAAGGAACGCTCAGAATAGCAGCTGCATAGCAATGGCACAGTTTCTTCTTGTTTGGTCAGAAAAAATTCTAGAAACATTTTACTGTAGCAACATGACTTTAAACCACTGATCTATAATTATAGAACATTATAGAGATATCATATAGATCAGTGCTTTAAAGTTATTTTTCTAAAAAGGCAAATAGCATTATGTTTACCTTTTATTCTTTGTTAATAATGGTTGGTTTTGTTTTGTGTGTAGTCGACACGCTGCTAGACCCTGATAATCGATTGCACATGACCACAGAAAACCAGTTGAGGGAGCTGCTAGACAAATTAGATGTGGTGACATCCATGCGCTCGAGCGGTGCACGCACACGCCGCATACGCCTGCTCCGGCGAGAAATCAACAACATCCGCTATAAACAGCATGCGCGCAACTCACACATGCTCAATGGAGACCTCAAAGAAGAAGAAGAGGAGGAGGATGAAGACAAAGAGATGGATGGTGAACATAACCTGTCATCATCATCGTCAGATAAAGGTGAGACTTGACTACGGTTGGGAATCAAGAAACAGGTATTCAGAATTCCTTTTTTTTTTCAGTTAATATTCCAGATCAGACCAAAAAATTTTTCATGACATGCAGTTCTGTTAACGGTATTTGAAAGTCTGCATTCTTTTTAAAGTTGGCATGAAATGTAAATTCAACATATTTTCTAAATGTATTTTGTTAATCCTATTGTAAACGATTCATCAATGCATATGTTTCTTTAAAAAATAAATTAATTAATTTGACCTTGGAATTTTTCATTAAAATATCCTAACTGGATATTTTGGACTTCTCTCTGGTCACATATATGGTTCTATCACATACTACTACCGTAACATCTTGACTTTTATAAATTGATCAAAAAAAGTCACAAACCAGTCTTGAACTCTGATTCAAACCAGTAGTTCTAATTAATCTTTTACTCACTCTAAACTGTTCTTGACTTAAAGCCTGTTTACACCAAAAACGTTAACTATAACTAACTTTATTAGCATCCACGCCTATGCACAATAACTTTGTTTATTATAAGTATGCGGTGCAGTTTTGTTGCTCTGCCACTTTAAATGCTCAGGATCTATAAAACAGGATGCAATTCTGATTTGCTGTTTATCGTTCATTAGCTGGAAAAAAGATATCGTTCCTCTGCGCTGTTATTGTTATAGTTGTGATGAGGACTCTGCTTTTCTTTTGAATTTAGAATGATTTTTTTTTTAAACTGTATCTTTATCGTTATAGTTACCGTCCTTGGTGTGAACAGGCCTTTACTCATGAATCGCAAGTTGCTTCATTCGTCATGTCTAAATCAAAATGACTTTAATGTGTACTTAAGAATGTAGTTAGGAATTGTAAAGTGGAATCAGAACCAGAGTTGTTTAATTCCATTCCTTCAGCAAAATCTTTGATTTTTTGACATTTTTGATCAATAATGGCAATCTGATTTTTGTAACATCTGGTTGTTCCTCTTCATCTAGATGACTGTAAGTCAACTCCCCCACCCATGCTGGAACCCACAGGCCTGGCTTTGTCCCCTCCACCAGCAGACACCCACCAGGAACCACCGACCCTCCGACCCATGACGTCCGACCCCAGGACGTCCCCATGCACACCTAAGCGCCTCAAATTTAACAGCGAAAGCCAAGAGGCCGATTCAGACACTGCACCTGTGAACAGCTGCACGAAACCTGAGGACCGCCTGCCCGAGAACAAACTGATCAACGGCCTCTCCTCCACAGAGTCACCGACCCGGCCTGCCACAGGAGGGGTTGGGCGGCGAACGTCCGTCCTCTTTAAAAAAGCAAAAAATGGAGCAAAGCTCCAGCGTGAGCGAGACAATCAGATGCAGAACAGAAGCAGGGAGGAGGCCGTCAGCACTGACCCAGCCCATGCACGCACCCCTGACTGCACCGCCAACGTCAAGACTGAAACTTCAGCCCAGCCAAAACCTTCAATACCTCCGCCCATATCAACCCCGGCCAAACAGAGAGCAAGAAGCCGCAGCTGTAGTCCAGAGCACGAGAGAACGCCCCCTCGACTGATTCTAGAGCCTGGTAAGGAAAACAACTGCTTTACATGATGCATTACTTTACTGATTTTGTGATATGTTTACTTAAAGGGCTGCACGATTTTGGGGAAAATTGTTATTGCTATTTTTCCTGATTAAAAATTGTTTTGGTGAAAGCTCCTGGTTTGCACAATTTGGCAAAACAATGTGATTGCATTTCATTATGTAAAATAATAATTTTTATTATTACTTCTACCCTGCTCTGGTGAGAGAGGGCGCTCTACATTCATACTACATGCATACAACACGTTGATTCGATTATTTTGAGTTACACATACCAGTAAACATCTTTTAAAAAAAAAAAAAGTTTTATGTTTGAGAATTGTATCTATATATAGCCTGACATCAAAAGTGACCATGTTTACATCATTAATGCCTCAGTCCGGGGATTATCAAGCATTTTTTTGTCAGTTGAACCCCTTTGACCTAAAACACCTCTGAGAAGTTAACATTTCAGTATTGTAATAATGGCAGTCATTTAACAACACATTCATATTCACATTTCTCTAGTTAATGGTCACATGACATGCAGGTAAACCATTTTTTTTCATTAGTGTTTTATTTTGATTGCTATTATTTATTATATTTTGATTTGTTTTAATTGAAATAAGTGGTTGTACCTTTACATTTTTATGATGTAATTATGATTTAATGTAGAGTTTCATCAACTCACTTCACTGGTGAACAAATCAAGTATTTTATTTTTTCATTGCTTTTATTATTTATTATATTTTGGTTATTTTGATTGTTATTAAAATTTTATTTTAGTAAAATAAGTATAATATAAAAAAAATATATAATTTCACATTTGTAGGATTTTAATAAAAAAAATTTAATTAAAAAATGTATTATTTTGAATATTTGTATTTTATTAAAATAAGTAATTTTAATGTTATGTTTTTATTATTTAATTATTACCAATCATTTTTGTTGACTCACAAACCCCCGTTTGGAAAAAAAAAAACCTGTGTTAGAATATAAATGTTTGAATGAATCACTGCCATTTTCTTAAGATAGCTTTTTACTTTTTAAAGTTTAACAAACCACTTGTATATTGTAAAGACACCTTGTGTATATAAGTATGTTTTTTTTTATCATATAGTATCTCATTTAATTTTTTTCTTCTCTTGTTTATTGTGAAATAAATTGCCTGGAGGAACAAAGAAATGAAGGTTGTGTATATACGTGTAAAAAGATTTTCAGATGAACTGACTTCCTATATAGTGTATCCTGCTTGTCTTTGATATCGGATGGTGTGAGTGTGTTCATATATATGTACATTACCGACATACGATCGTGTATGTATGTGTATATGTACCAACTCACAGTTGTCTATGGTTAAATATATATTCTCATTTTTGATACAAAAAAGTAATTTATTTATGGACCGTAAAGAGAAAAAGGAATTAAATTATATTGGTTCAATATGGAAATCAGATCTCTTATTTAAGATGATAAACTATTGCATATTCTTTTGAGATCTAACTTCACATGTTCTTTCAGATCCTGGTTTAGTTCTTCTTAAGATTTCAAGGTGAAATGCTAGAGAGATGATGATGACGACTGCATATTGTACACTTGCTGTTGGTCCCTTGTCACCATCAAGCACGGAACCTTGTATTTATTGTAGAACGTTGTGGAGCTTTTGTTCACTGTTTATAAGATGGAACCTCTAAGAAATTTTAAGCTTGTACAAACTGCAGATTTTAGCTACCCACCAAATAACCTGTCTCAAACAGTATTTTCTCATGTGGGAAAATAAATGTTCTATTGAAACTCTTCTATGTTTGATATTGATGTTTGATATTGATAAATGCATTGTTTTACTGTACATTTTTGAGTATTTGTAAACACTAACAAGCAACTTTATAAAGTAGATGTGCACTTATATTTTCCATGTACATTTTAAAATGCTATATTCTTATAAGTGCTTAAGGAGATATATCTTTATTTATTGGAATACCTCATAAAGCGTATCTACTTATTACGATAAACCGATTAAAGAGTCACTCAGGAGAGCTACCGCGCTTGTTTAGCCCGATTAGAAAAGTAGCCAATCAGAAACGCTCTCTATCTGTCAATGATCTTGAACGCTCGGATTTGTTGAGATCGGGTTGGCTGACGTGTTTGAGGAGGGCTGGGGTCATAGGCTGAATAGTTTCCAATGGCATCTGGCGAAAATTAATAAAAGGTGAGAAATTGTTTTATGCTCACATTTCACAATAGTATTGGGATACATTTTATTTTTTCAAGACGGTACTGTTAGGGGATAAATGTGTAATTGTTTGCAAAATATTTCAAGCGTGTGTATTTTGTAAGGGGTCACGTGAGATAGATGCTTCATTAAATAACACTAGAAACGTTGACCATTAGTGTGGTAATCAACATACAGTGGGTACGGAAAGTATTCAGACCCCCTTAAATTTTTCACTCTTTGTTATATTGCAGCCATTTGCTAAAATCATTTAAGTAAATTTTTTTTCCTCATTAATCTACACACAGCACCCCATATTGACAGAAAAACACAGAATTGTTGACATTTTTGCAGATTTATTAAAAAAGAAAAACTGAAATATCACATGGTCCTAAGTATTCAGACCCTTTGCTGTGACACTCATATATTTAACTCGGGTGCTGTCCATTTCTTCTGATCATCCTTGAGATGGTTCTACACCTTCATTTGAGTCCAGCTGTGTTTGATTATACTGATTGGACTTGATTAGGAAAGCCACACACCTGTCTATATAAGATCTTACAGCTCACAGTGCATGTCAGAGCAAATGAGAATCATGAGGTCAAACCAGCCTTAAAAGTAGGGTGAGAAAATTGTCATGCACCTATTTTTTAAGGGGGCAACAGTGAGAATCCTGCCACTTCGTTATATGATTGTGAGGCAATAGTTTAGTTTAATCATATACTACTTTGAATCATAACCCAAAGCATGCTATATAATTAAAATATCATTAGGCTGAAACTATTAGGTGGTCTTCTGTTGACAAATTAATCTTTTGTAAATGTTTAGACACTTATAACCATGCTCTACACAAATCACTTAAATTACATTTTGGATTCAAAAGACAAATTTTGCCAAAAGGTTATGAATTTGTAGCACTATTAAAAAAAATGTGTAATACAATTATCATTAAAAAAGAAAAAGCTTGGCTCAAAATCTGAATGGATTTGAAGCTTCTGAAGAAAATGATTACATATTTATTATTAACGTGGATCTGAAAATTGATAAACAGAATAATAAATGCAAATTCATGTATATTACAACATGAATGAAAAGCAAGTAGTCACTAAAACACAAAATAAACATGTTTATTTAGTGCATATAAGAAATCATCAGCTTACATTGGTTTTATTTTTTTATTAAACTAAACTATGTTTGCACACGGGTAACCAAAAGTACACTGACCTGGGATATTGTTCTGGACAAAAATGAAAAGTGTATTGCAACAGAGATCAGATGTCATAAATCTCTCTCCCTAAAGGCTGTCTCAAGACTGCATGCCCCAGGGTTGCTGTGGGAGAAGGGTGAGGTGGTTGTGTCGTAGTGTTCTCAGCTCTGTCAACCGTCCCAGGAGCCTGGCAAAGCGTCGCGGGTCTTGTGCCGTCCCCTGACTACAGCAGCTGCAAGCTCGGGACAAGAGCTCCAAAACAAACTCCTGTAAGTTCTCAACACAGCCCACTGCACGCAGAGACGGCCTGTCTGCTTCACAACAGGGAAAAAATGGAGGTCATTTGAAGCGGTTCTATACACTCTTAATAATAACGTTTTTTTATTAGCGTCAATGGTTCCATGAAGAACCTTTAACATCCATGGAATCTCTCAATTGCAAAAAAGATAAATCTTTATAGTGGAAAAATGTTCTTCACACTAAGAAAAAATAGTTCTGAAAGGCTCTTTGGGGAACCAAAAACTTTTATTTTGTAAGCTAAACTTTTGTCATTTGCTGTCTGACCTGAATATGGTGTTCTGAATATTGTGACATCACATGGAAATTAGTCACAATTTTGTTCATCATAATCCACAGACCTGAGCATAACACTGCAGTCGCTGTTAGAAGTGCATATTCAGCCTCAGTTACCGCAATAGTCTCCATGCTGTGGAGGAAATTTACCACAGACCTCAAGAACTCATCATTCAACCCTTAACAAAAATCAAAATCACAATATTAGTAGAGACGAAAACATTTAGACTGTATATACAGTTATATCAGTTGGATTAATCACTGCATGTAATGTTACTTTGCTGCTATGATTATCACTGTTCGTTATAGATCACCTGCGTGTGTCAATGTCCTGATCCCAGTCTTGGACTCTAACGTTCTCACCCAATCAGGGTTTGAGTTATTCAAATTAGCTGAGTATAAAGCTGGTGATAGAAAACACAGCAGTGAGTCATTATTGATCTATAATGTGTTGAGTTTTCTGTTTCAATTGGCAATTTTAACGATACTATATGAGCACAATTTATTTATAGCACACGATTCAGCTAAGCTCTTAAAAACTCGCATTGTCCCGGACACCAATATTTTAACTATTCATAAAAGATGAATCACTGTCTGGCCAACTGAAATTTCAATACGGCTATAAAGATTAGGATCATGATTTTTTTTTTGGTAGTAGTACAGCACATTGTGAATCTATATTAGAACTGTTTGTGGTTGCTTTTGGAAATAGACACATGATGTCAGTCTTAACAAGCAGATTATGTATGTGATTACCAGTGCTAACAGTAGTGGGGTTCTCAGAGAACTGCTGAGCTAAGAGTAGGAACATGACTTCAACTGAAGAGCTGGACAGAAGTGTGTTCTGGTCAGAACTATCCAAAAGCTCAAACCCTAAACAAAAGATGACCACAAATTAGTTGTATTTAGAGGTGTGTGTGGTGTGATCTAAGAGAAGTTGGATGAAACTGACCAGGTACACTCCTTAAAAATTGCAAAAGCTTCTCCGTCTGAGGAGGAGTCAGATCTACACTGTTTGTCAAACTTGACCACAGAGGCACCTGGGGAAAGAAAAGAATGATGTCTAGTTATTATACATCACGGGCAGTATGTCTGTATTAATTTTTAAAGTGCCCCTATTATGCAATTTGTAAGGTTGCTAATATTGTTTTATGAGTCTCCTAAAACAGGTTTACATGCATGCAAGTTAAAAAAACAAGTACGTTTTCTCAAAAAATAGATTTCATTTTACGTCATTTCTAAATTATTCATAAACGACTTGTGCGAAGCAGTTCAAAGAATCAGTCTCTCCTTTGCGTGAGCCCTCACTGCTGGGATTGGTCAGATGGCGCAGTCCTTTGTGATTGGTCCAGAGCTGTAGAGAGATTGGCTCTGGATTGGTCTACCGCGTACAGCGCGTGTCGGAAACGAAACGCCCATTGCCATGACGGAATGACAGCCCTGGAGACTTGTCAATACATAGAAAAGATGGTATCGATGATTGTATGGTTCAATTGAAACGGTTGAAGTGGCTGATCGACAAGAGACTGATTCGCAAGCACGACTGGAGCAGGACGTTTCTCAGTGGTAAGTGTCAAGTGTTAACAAGTTTGTGGTAATTATAAGATGAACATCAACATGATGTTAACCACACGGAAATGTTACTGTTTGTGGGCGGGCAAGTTGGCGACGTAGAACGTGGGCAGACCTTATGCAATTTATTTATAGCACACGATTCAGCTAAGCTCTTAAAAACTCGCATTGTCCCGGACACCAATATTTTAACTATTCATAAAAGATGAATCACTGTCTGGCCAACTGAAATTTCAATACGGCTATAAAGATTAGGATCATGATTTTTTTTTTGGTAGTAGTACAGCACATTGTGAATCTATATTAGAACTGTTTGTGGTTGCTTTTGGAAATAGACACATGATGTCAGTCTTAACAAGCAGATTATGTATGTGATTACCAGTGCTAACAGTAGTGGGGTTCTCAGAGAACTGCTGAGCTAAGAGTAGGAACATGACTTCAACTGAAGAGCTGGACAGAAGTGTGTTCTGGTCAGAACTATCCAAAAGCTCAAACCCTAAACAAAAGATGACCACAAATTAGTTGTATTTAGAGGTGTGTGTGGTGTGATCTAAGAGAAGTTGGATGAAACTGACCAGGTACACTCCTTAAAAATTGCAAAAGCTTCTCCGTCTGAGGAGGAGTCAGATCTACACTGTTTGTCAAACTTGACCACAGAGGCACCTGGGGAAAGAAAAGAATGATGTCTAGTTATTATACATCACGGGCAGTATGTCTGTATTAATTTTTAAAGTGCCCCTATTATGCAATTTGTAAGGTTGCTAATATTGTTTTATGAGTCTCCTAAAACAGGTTTACATGCATGCAAGTTAAAAAAACAAGTACGTTTTCTCAAAAAATAGATTTCATTTTACGTCATTTCTAAATTATTCATAAACGACTTGTGCGAAGCAGTTCAAAGAATCAGTCTCTCCTTTGCGTGAGCCCTCACTGCTGGGATTGGTCAGATGGCGCAGTCCTTTGTGATTGGTCCAGAGCTGTAGAGAGATTGGCTCTGGATTGGTCTACCGCGTACAGCGCGTGTCGGAAACGAAACGCCCATTGCCATGACGGAATGACAGCCCTGGAGACTTGTCAATACATAGAAAAGATGGTATCGATGATTGTATGGTTCAATTGAAACGGTTGAAGTGGCTGATCGACAAGAGACTGATTCGCAAGCACGACTGGAGCAGGACGTTTCTCAGTGGTAAGTGTCAAGTGTTAACAAGTTTGTGGTAATTATAAGATGAACATCAACATGATGTTAACCACACGGAAATGTTACTGTTTGTGGGCGGGCAAGTTGGCGACGTAGAACGTGGGCAGACCTTATGCAAATGTGTTACTTCGTGACGTAGAACCGTAACAGAATAAGATTCGAACTCCTGACGACTCGTTTAGGCGATTGCGAGCCGACTCTTGTGGTAAGTGTCAAGTGTTAACAAGTTTGTGGTAATTATAAGATGAACATCAACATGATGTTAACCACACGGAAATGTTACTGTTTGTGGGCGGGCAAGTTGGCGACGTAGAACGTGGGCAGACCTTATGCAAATGTGTTACTTCGTGACGTAGAACCGTAACAGAATAAGATTCGAACTCCTGACGACTCGTTTAGGCGATTGCGAGCCGACTCTTTCTTTTTTTTTTTTTTTGATAGACAAAAACTTTATTTATCGTGCACTGTCAGCTTCACAACTTTGCAGATAGTTTATGTTCACATACAGCTACATGACACTGCATGAAAGGTAATATTCGAAAAGGCATAATAGGGGCACTTTAATGGAAAAAGACATACCCGGCAGTGCGTGTTGTCTTGAATTATGTACCTACGATAAGCCTCAACAATTCTATTCAGAATGCATCTCTGCTCTCTGGAGAAACCAGATACCTGCAAACAGTATTTTGAAGACAAGAAACTTGTTCTGAACTTTTTATATATAACAGACTTCAAATCTCACTAGAACTCAAATTTCATGGTTGGAAAGTCTAAATAATACGAGAGAGTTTTACCCGTGTGGTGAATCTGCTGGTGGATGAGACACTTCTGCTTTCAGTGTAGTCCTCTTCAGCTCTTCCTGTTGATCCGTTGTGTCCTCTGTGATTGGTGCCCTTCCTCAGTCTCTTTGACTGGCATTGCACCTCTGTAAGCAGACCTGACAAAAAGACACCAGCAATCAACATCCAATGAGATTATAAGTGTTTTTGGGTGAAGTAGCATCTGACATTGTCAGTTTCCCCAGAAATGACAGAAAACGAAGACTCGTGAGGATTCAGATCAGGCTAGAAGTTTTTACGTCAATCTCACACTCTGCCAGCATCCCGACGGCTCTGCACTTGCGCAGTCTGCAGTCCTGACACTTTCTCCGCATGTACATGTCCATCTCACAGCTTCCACCAGTCTTGCAGCGGTACACTGCCTTTTTAGTCACGCTGCGTCTGAAGAAACCTAAGCCAAGAGAGATACTCTACTGTTTAAAAAGTTTGGGGTCGGTAAGACTTTTTTGATGGTTTTGAAGTCTCAACAAGGCTGCATTTATTTGCTCAAAAATACAGAAAAATCAGTAATGATGTGAAATATTACTATTTAAAATATTTTATCTATTCCTGTAGTGGCAAAGCTGAATTTTCAGCATCCAGTCTTCAGTGTCACATGATGTTTCAAAAATCATTCTAATATGCTGATTTGTTGCGTAAGAAATATTATCACTGTTGAAAATAATATTTCTGTGAAAATGGATCATTTTTTCAGGATTTTTTGATTAATAGAAAGTAGAAATAGAAATCTCTTGTAACATTATAAATGTATTTACTGTCACTTTTGATCAATTGAATGCATCCTTGCTGAAAGTATTTTATGAAACGTACTGACCCCAAACCTTCGAATGGTAGTGGATATTCTTAAAATTCACAGTCTTTCTCATTCAGGGAAACAGACCAAACATTTTGCTGAGTTGGAGATATATACAAGCAAATAGCAACAGCAAGTACCAAATCATAGTCCATTGCTATTGGCTATTTAAAAAAAGATGAGACAAGCTCTTAGATATATCCCACCCAAAGGAACGCAGGAAAGAAAACTGGCATCAAGCCATTACATGGAGTCTTATAAGTACTTTTGGACATTAGTAAATACTGTAAATTCAAGAAGTGCATCATGGATTAATGTTGTCTTAAAATGCAGTGCTATTGTGATCGTCCAACCTTTGCATCCCTCACAGGTGAGGGCATTGTAGTGATATCCTGAGGCTTTATCTCCACACACCACACACAGCTCATCCTGGCCCTTCACTCGAGCTCCATGGTTCATCCTGGGCCTTTTTGGCACTTGAAGACCGACAATGCTGCCTCTTGTTGGGCTTTGGACCTCAATGTCTGGTTCACAGGTGAATTCAGAGCACTGATGGCTGTAGGGGTACTGCGGGTTGCACGCTTGAGCGTTTGGCGCTCCATACATTGAAAACTGCACATTGTCGTGGCTGAACGGCTGGTGGCCATAGAGAGGGCTTTGTAGATCTGGTTCCTGATAAGAGCAGCTCAGTGGATCCACAAGATCATCTGCAGCAAGGATTGAAGAGCATCTTGATGAATGAAAATATGTTCCTTTTTCACATTGATTCTCAAATTACCTAACGACTTTTATGAGGCCTTTGGGACGTAATAAAAAAAAATTCCAGAGCTAGAACTTTTGAATCTTTTCTGTCTCTGGAAACAGGATGCAGCTGAAGAGGTTACAGTTTTGTTTATGGTTGTTATTTGCTTTGAAGCTTATGGGGTTTTTATAACTGTACAGAACGGAGCCATCCTGATGTTTTTTTTCTGTCAGTGGGAAGGTTGTGAAGATGGATTTTAGATTTGAGTTCCCCCATAGAGGGAACATATGTCACAACTGGCAGCATTTCTGAAGCACATCTCCACAAGAAGTTTTTTTTTTTTTCATTTCAAGAATATAATATTTCACATGAGAAAAAATTATACGTAGTCGAGTAAAACTAATCTCATCCAACCAATTCCAGCAAATCCATCTCTGTTTTTCCATGTCATCCATAAATATCCTTCTGCAGTGTGGTGGTCTCTTTATTGGCCTTCAATCCTGTCTTTTTCACAGATGTTTTATGTCCTGTTACAGCTAGAGCATAACTTTCCGGTGAAAGTATCTGTTTGTAAACCACTGGAGTTTTTCATAAACATTAATGTTGGTGCGTAGCTGCTAATATACTATCATTGACTGACCTTCTAGACGCCACAGTGAGTTAAATGATAAAACGAAACTGAGACTTTGCAAAAGCGCTATTCAGACAGTAATTGTTTCTCAAGACAACATCTGGGAAATAATATTTGGACATTCAGATATTAATGCAATGAACTCGAGGATGAAGGAGACAAACCACTGTGCATAATACATGATCGGTCACAAGACCATATTTCAACATGGCGTCAATGAAGGAATCCAGTAAAATTGTTATTTTATTCATGTAGTTTATTTAGCTAATTTTTCTTCTTTTGTTTTGTTTGTTTGTCAAAGGTAAATGTATTTATTTATTATTGCAGTTATAGTGCCACAAAAATATTATTATACTATACTAAACATTATTATAATACACTATTATAGTATTTATTAATATTTTTTAATGACCAATTATTACATTTTCAGATTTTATTTTAGTTTTAGTGATTTTATTTTTTGTCAATTTTATTAGTTTTTATTTTCTTTAAATTTCTATGTAGCAAATTTCTGTTTGAGCAATTATTTAGTAATTACTTCAATTAACAATGGTTTTTAATAGTTTTATAGTTAACAATAACAACACTGATTTAGTGAAAGTCAGTGGGGTCCAAAACAATATTGGTTCCCATTGACCAAAACACACGTTTCTAAATCTATTTAAAAAAAAGCAAGAAAGTTAGTTGCTCAGGGTCTGAACAAAATAAGCGTGAGTAAATGATGACATTAATTTTTATTTTTGAGTGAACTATCACTTTAACAATATTGTAATTCCATAATGAATTGATTTATATATAGTAAAGTGTAATCTTACCATAGTACTGTGGCGGCTCTGTGATGTCAAATGTGTCTGATGTGGAGAGGTAGCCGCCGATAGACATGCTCAGCTCAGGATCTGTCCCCTCTCTCATCTGATCAGTTGGATTCTCGCTCTTCACTGAGAATGTCTGAATCTATAAAGAGCACAAAAACCTTCATTCACCCTGTTTGAGGATCATAATCCAATGCCTTCAAATATGTCTTCAGTAAGCCCTCCAACCCTAGAGAAAGATGAGCTATTTTAGGCGTCACTGTCTTTTAGGCGTCTGGCCTCCTCTGGGGCTCTGAGAGGATAAGACGAGAGATGAGGCCTGTGTGTCCGAACAGCTGCTCTGGCATGAGTTTCACAGAAAAGGCCTCACATAGAGCAGTCTGTCCCAAACACACTCAACAGGTTTGGCCTGTAGCTGACTCCCAGCATTCAATAGCAGCTGTGTGAACGTACCTAAACCCACACTTTTGTCCAGTAACTAAAGAGGACCTGCAATACACTTAAAGAGAGTGGCTACCATATTCAAAATGGATATATCGTTTTTTTAAAAATCAACCATTTTGGTTGTTTACTGAATGACATCCACAGGGAGCAATTTTATAGCTCGGAAACTGGTGCAAAGCATCATCAAGTTGACACTGACAAGCAACTTGAAAATTGCTTAAAGGAACACTCCACTATTTTTGAAAATAGGCTCATTTTCCAACTCCCCTAGAGTTAAACAGTTGAGTTTTACCGTTTTCTAATCCATTCAGCCGATCTCCGGGTCTGGCGGTAGCACTTTTAGCTTAGCTTAGCATAGATCATTCAATCTGATTAGACCGTTAGCATCTCGCTCAAAAATGACCAAAGAGTTTAAATATTTTTTCTATTTAAAACTTGAATCCTCTGTAGTTATATCATGTACTAAGACCGACGGAAAATGAAAAGTTGTGATTTTCTA